CGACCGTCGGTCGTTGGAAGTGGGTACGTTTTTGGATTCCAAGGCTCCGATCTGCTTGAAGTGCCGTCCTGCGTCAGTGATCGAGTGGCTTCCCCTCTTCCCTCCTCCTCAGGGGGCGGGCGGAGACCCAATCTACAGGGTCCGGCTTGAATAAGGAACACTGACCTTTCAAAAGGGGTTCGGTCGTTTTTGTTGGTTTGCATGCGTTCTGCTACCTTCTTGGCGGCGAGCCCCTCTGGTGTTCCTTCGGACTTCTTAGACGCAAAAAATGGGTTTCGTTCTTTCTGTATCGTTCCTGAGGTCAGGCCGAATACTGTACCTACAGTCAACGCGCCTAGTAAGGACGCACGCCTTCATCTAGGGTACCCTTGTGTCCTTGCCTATGAGGCTCGTTCTTGCCATTATCACTGGCGCCCGCCGCCCCAAAAAAACAAACTTCGGCCTCCAAGGGTCTTGCGTCCTTATCACCCGTCCTTAATGTACGTTTTGACTGTACTTCTTCCGTCCGACTGGAACTCTTTCTTCGTCGGGCCGCGTGCCCCTCCCGCCATCCAGAGGGAGGCTCCTCCAGACCGCGGCAGGATATCGGGATACCGTCTTGTGTGTAATTCTCGGGTTTCGTGCCTCTCCCCCAGCCCTGCAGGAAGGCCCCACCAGACTGTGTCGGCGCATCGGGATGCCAGTAAGTCGGGCATGTCCCTCTACAGGAGGAAAAGTCCTACAGTGTCAAAACGTAGCCCGGGGACGATGGTTCTACTATTTTTGACTCTGTTTGAATATGTTTAGTTGTTGTTGTAGCTTTCGTCCGAAAATCCGCCTGCAGCAGGACGTGCCCGACCGAAGGATGCCTTCTTCTTTGTGAGGTTTTCCGTACCCCGCGCGCCCCTCCAGGGAGGCCCGCCAGACCGCAGCAGGGTAGTTCCCGGGCCAGCATGGTGCTGATGAGGTCGCGTGCCTTTCCCGCCCCTCCAGCGAGGCTCCGCCAGACAGCGGCAGGGCACCGGAATACCGCATGCTGCGTCAAGTGTCATGCCCCTCCTGCTTTCCGGGGAGGCCCCGCAAGCCCGCGGAAGGGTATCGGAGCACAAATCCCCTTCACGCGGCGGCGTGCCCCAGCCTGCCGCATGCCCACCCTCCCGTGCCCCTCCCGCCCCTTTCAGGGAGGGCCTGGCCCGCCAGACCGCGTCAGGTCAGAGCCCCGAATCATCAGGGGTAACTCGGGTCAGGGCTAACTCGGGTTCGTTTTTCGGGAATCCGAACCCGACTTACCCCGGACCCGAGTTACCCCGGATAATTCGGGCGTCCAGAGCCCCACATCATCAGGGATATCTCGGGTCAGGGTTAACTCGGGTTCCTTTTTCGGGAATCCAAGCCCGAGTTACCCCGGACCCGAGTTACCCCGGATAACTCGGGCGCCCAACGCGTCAGGGCATCGGAGTCTCACTGTAAGTATTCGAGTGGATTGCGCCATTATCTATGCGATGGGGTTGGGCCTCCTGGAGGGCTCTCGGGAGGCATCTGAAGGGCTGTTCGGGGCTTTGGAGGTGCCTCGGGGGCTTCTGGGGAGCCTCGTGGAGGCCTCTTGGGGGCGCTTCAGGGCTTCTGAGGGGCTCTTGGAGGCATCCTGTGAGAAAGCGCTCCTCGTAGGCCTCTTTTGGCGCTCTTTTGGGCTGTCGTGGCCCTTTGGGGGCCGTCTTAGGGGCTTCTTGGGGGCCTCATGAGCCGCATTGGGACGATCTTTGGGGCCCCTTTAGGCCGTCTTGGACGCTGTGAGGACGAAGAAGGCGAGTACGCTAAACGATGTTGCCCCCTGGGGACCCTTCGGCGGTCCTCTGGGAGCACTCGTGGGCCCTCTTCGGGGCATCGTGGGCCGCCTTCAAGCCACCTCGGACCCTCGTGGGGCTATTCGGGGCCGGCTCGACGCTCGCTTTGACGTTCTTGGCGCTCCCTTTGTTTGGGCTCTCGAAGCAGCAGCAGCAGAAGCAGCAGCAGCAGCAGCAGCAGCAGCAGCGACAGCGGCCGCGGCAGGAGGAGGAGCAGCAGCAGCGGCAGGATCGGGAGGCGGGAGGGAGGACGGAACAAAGAGAGAGGTGACGAACGGACAACACGCACCCATACCCATAGGGGGGTCGTTGGGAGGAGGACTGGCTATGGGTATGGGTGCGGGTTGTCGGACCCTGGGGAACGCTCCCGTTCGAGCGGGGACCCCCATCCGACAACACGCACCCATAGCGCTCTCCGATCCCCCTATGGGTGTGGGTGTGTGCGTTGTTAGTTCGCCAAGAGGATGGCAAATGGGGGGCGTGCAGGGAGGAGGAGCAGGGCGGGGCACGAGGCGGCGGGAGGCCGTGCCGAGGGCGGCAAGGCCGAGGGGGCGGGCGGGCCCTCCGCGACTGCGGCCGCGGGCGCCCCCCTATGGAGGCCCTGCTGGCGCTGCGGCGCCCGCTGCCGCTCGACCAGGCGCTCAGCCTCACCGTGCCAGGACCGCGCGCCGCGGCGAGGGGGCCGCGTGCGAGCCCTGCCCCTGCCCCCCACGACTGCTTGAGGGGGAGGGCGGGCCCTTCTCCTCGTCGGCTCCCTCGGCGGGGCGGGCCCCGCTCCTCCGCGGCCGCCCTCGGCGCTTCCACAGAGCACGGGGGGGCCGCGTGCGAGCCCCACCCCTGCCGCGTGCGAGGGGGAGGGCGGGGTTCACTTCTCGCTCGGGAGCTCCCGAGCGGGGTGGGCCCCACCCTCCCCCTCAGAGGTCGTGGGGGGTGGGGGTGGGGCTCGCACGTGGCCCCCTGGCGGCCCAGCTCTCCTTTGGCAGCGCGCTCTCGGGCGTGAGAGCAGTCTGTCGCTCGCGCTCGGCGAGGCCAGCGCCGGAAGATCTCGGGTCCGTTTCCGGAGCACCTCGGAGGAGAGAAGGAGGGTGCGAGGCCGAGCAGGGCGCGGGGAACGGATCCGGGGTGGACAGAACCCCCAGCAGTGCCACGGCGATTGATCAGTGAATTGTCCGTTTTCGGTTCTCGAGAGGGCGCCGTGGCCGTTCTTTTCCAGACTTGCGCCCGCCAGGTTTGGGCCTCAGGTCGTTTTCACTAAGCCACGTTTTACTAAAAGGGGTGCGACGCCGAGCAAGGCGCGGGGAATTCGGGGAACGAAAAATATGGCATGAACATAAAAACTCGGAGGTCCGCGCGGAGTTCTCGGATCGGCGCTGGACCCCCCTCCCTGGCGCGCGGAGCGCGCCAGGGGCGGCGCCGGAGGCGCCGCCAGGGGGGTCCCGGCGCCGATGCGAGAAATCCGCGCGGACCTCCGAGTTGTTATGTTTCTGTCACTTTTGGTTCCCCTGGGAATGGGCGTCCGAGCGGTGGAAAGAGCTGCCTCCGCTGCCAGACCTCCAACGCTCGCCCACCTCCCTCGTGCATCGTCCGGCTCCTCTCCTGCACCCCCGTCCCCTCTCCTCCCCATTGAGCGGGGGTTGGTGGCAGCGAGAGAGAGAGAGAGAGAGAAAGCCAGATGAAATGAGGGAACAAAATGAGAGACAACGACGGAGAATGATGATAGAGAGATAGGCAAATAGATCATGTCATAAAGAGATGGAGGGAGAAATTAGCGAAGCAGAGGGGTGAGAGATGTGAGGAGAGAGATGAGAGAGGTGAGAGATGAGAAAGATGAGGGATGTGCGTTGAAAAATAAGCGAGCAAACGTGACGGTTTTCGGGGGGGGGGGTCCGTGTTGCTAACCTTGGTGATTTGTGTGTGGGGAGCCTGTGTTGCGTGGGCTTGCAAGCTTGATGTGTTTTAGGCGGTCAGTTTTGCTTGGTTTGCAAACTTTATGATTTTGTTTTCGGGGGGGGGCAGCTTTGCTTGGCTTGCAAGCTTGGTGATCTTTGTTTGGGGGTCAGTGTCGCTTGGTTCTGCAAGCTTGCTGATGTGTTCGTGGGAGGGCAGTTTTGCTTGATTTCGCGTTCTGGAGTTCTCTCGGGGGTCAACACCATCAAGGTTGCGAGACCGCTGTTCTACAAGAGCTTCCCCGTTGTGTGATGGCAAGGGTTGTGCAGCCAGTGCCGCCGGCCCTGCTCGCTAGGACGAGATGGGGATGAGGAAAGGGTAAGGCCGTGGGGGGTGAGTGCGTCCAACGGCTGGGCACTCTTGGGACCCCGAGGGAAGACATGGGAGCAATCCCCTGAGTCCGCTGTGTGACCGTCAGGGCTGCCTGGGGCGCGGCCGTCCCCGCCTCCGATGGACGTTGGACGGCGAGGAAGAGAATGCGAGGTTGTAAGGGGGGCCAGCGGGGAAAGAAATAGCTAGAGAGAGAGAGAGAGAGAGAGAAAGAGAGAGAAAAAGAAAGATAGAGCAAGGGGGTGGTAAGGAAAGGGTGGGGGGGAAGGTCCTGGGGGGAGAAACGTGTTCGCTCGCTTGACAGCGTCGCCGCGCTATCTGTCCAGGTGTCGCATGATCGTGGCGGTAGAGGAGAGAGATTTACTATCTCCTGGAATACTAGTGCTGCAGTCGGCGCCAGTGCGCTGGCATAAGAGAACAAGTTCCGCACACACGGACCAAGGACGGTGCCTCAAGGACACAACGTTGGACTACGGTTAAGTCGGGCGTGTCCATCTACGGGAGGAACATTTGAACATAGTATGTTATAGTCTGGGGGCGATGTTTGTCACATTTGTGGGTATTGATGAGGTATTGATTGACTATTTTGATTTTAATGTTTGGCTCCAAATCCGCCTGTAGGAGGACATGCCCGACCTGAGACTACGGCGATGGGCGACTTGCGAATGGCTTTGCCGGCTCTCGGGAGGACGCCACGGGCGGTCTAATTTTTTTTTGTCGGGCTTGCGTCGTCTTCACGAAAAGGGCTCTTCTCGATTGGCTTGTTTTCCACCACGCCGCCATAAGTTGGAGGGGGGACGGAGGTGGAGGATGAGGAGGAGGAAGAAGAGGACCCCTCCCCCTCCTACTTATGGTGGTGGCGGTGGGAAACAGGCCCACCACTTTCCGAAAGGGGGCTCTTGCGCCACCAGATGCCGTCCACGTCCACTGCCGCGTGGCCGTGTGTCCTAGGGGCACGGGGAGCGGTGGGCATTCAGGAGGGGGGTACAAAACACACAGACACAATGAATCGTTGACCCCCAGGTAAAATAGGGGAGGAAAATACGGGAATCGGTGGGGAAGACTAACATCCAGAAAATATGTGGAACCCTCGGATTTGTGTTGTGTGTATTTACCTGTGTGTCCCAGGGCCCCTTCAGACATGGACATGGCCATGGAGCGTGGCCGTGTCCCAGGGACACGGGGAGCGGTGGACATGGACACGTGCCCGCCCGTGCGGGGTGGGCAGATGTCCATGTCCACCACTCCCCGAGGTCCCAGGACAGCTCCGGCGCGGGTGATCTGGACATCTTCTGGCGGTGGAGTTCCGTCGCGGGCGATTCTCCCCCCCAGCCCACGACGTTTCGACGACGAATGAAGCCGCTCAGAAGAGGAAGGGAGCCCTAGGATACACCCCGAGGGGGCTATTCGGATGCACCGCTACCGAGGCTGGACGCCCATCCGATCGTATATCCCAGGGTTGGAATCCAAACTTTGTGACCATTCGGAAGCCTCACGAAGCCCGGGATAGCGGTGGAGATGTCCTTTGTAATGTTCTTGGGCGGAAAAGAGGGGGGTGATGACTACGGGGGGGTGGATATCATGGCGGGGGCCATGATTTTTCCCCAGATTTCATGGCGCCTCTTCTCAGTTCATCACGTCCCTGGCCCCCCCGCTGGGCCGCGCACATGCCGCCGGTCATGATTGGCACCCCCCCTCCCTTGGACACCCCCCTCTTGGCCGCTCCCGAAAGGGGACGCCCGACATGATTCTGGCCCCTGGCGACTTGGTGGCCGGTCCGTTGCCGCCCGCCGGCCCTCGCCTTCGTTGGCCCGCGCTTTGTCGCCTCCTGCGCGTAGTGGACTGCGCGCCGGCTTCTGCGGGGGTGCCCGAGGCCGCCCGCGCGCCTTCTCTTCGTCGGCTCTCTCGGCGGGCGGGCCCCGCTCCTCCTTCCCCTCCTCCGCCTCCTCCTCCTCCTCCTCCTCCCCTCCTCCTCTTCCTCCTTCCCCTCCTCCTCCTCCTTCCTCCTCCTCCTCTCCTCCTCCTTCTCCTCCTCCTCCTCCTCCTCCTCCTCCTCCTCCTCTCCTCCTCCTCATGCGAACCCTACCCCCACCTCCCACGATTTCTGAGGGGGAGGGTGGGGTTCACGTCGTTCGGGAGCTCCCGAGCGAAGTGGACCCCACCCTCCCCCTCAGAAGTCGTGGGGGGCGGGGGTAGGGTTCGCATGTGGCCCCCTAAAGAGCGTGGCCCGCGCCGCGCGCCCAGCGCGCCCGCCGATGCCGACCCCCGCGCTCGCGTTCGCTGGCGCTGCCGATCAAAAACAGGGCTGGGCCGCGTCCCCCTTCGCCAACGTGGCGTTGGCTGGGCGGCCCTGGGCGTTCGTCCTGGGCAGCCCGGTGCTCCTCGAAATTCTCCCTCGGGTGCGGTCATGAAACGGTTCGCTTGTCGGGGTGCTTCTCATGAGGGCGATTTTTCGGCTCCCCTGCCTCTCAGGAGGGGGAATACAGAGGCCCGCATCGCCGTTCAGTTCCCAGGGTTATACATCCATGTATATATATATAGACATATATACACATATGACTCTATTATATATATATATATTACAGAAGAAATAGTGGAGGGGAAGACGAACATCCAGAGCATGTGCGACAAGTATAGGGGACATCCTGGGAGTTGTGCCCCTGGCTTCGCCTGCCCCTGGGCGCCCCCCGCTTTGCCCGGCCGCGGGTGGCCCCCCCCGCGCGCTGCGCTCACGCCGCGCGGTGCCCACCCGGAGAGGCCGCGCGCGCTGTGGGCCCGCGGGCGCCTTCCCCCCCCCTCGACGACGACGACGACGACGACGACGACGACGAGGAGGAGGGCGGAGGAGGAGGAGGAGGAGGAGGAGGAGGAGGAGGAGGAGGAGGAGGAGGAGGAGGGGAGGAGGAGGAGGAGGAGGAGGATGAGGAGGAGGAGGAGGGCGGAGGAGGAGGAGGGCGGGGAGGAGAGGAGGAGGAGGAGGAGGAGGAGGAGGAGGAGGAGGAGGGCGGAGGAGCAGGAGGAGGAGGGGAAGGAGGAGGAGGAGGAGGAGGAGAAGGAGGAGGCCCGTCCAACGAAGCCTCCCTGGCCCCGTCCGCAGGAGTCCGCTCCAGCTTCCAGGACACCCCGGCGCCCCCGGGGGAGGGGGCCCGACCGCCCAGCCCCTGGGGGCGTCGCGCCGCCCCGAGGTCCTGGCGCCGCAGGTTGCCACAGCGAGCGGCGTCGCTCCCTTCAGGAGGGACAATGACACACACACACACACACACACAGGGGGAGGGGGAGGAGGGGGAGGAGGAGGAGGAGGAGGAGGAGGAGGAGGAGGAGGAGGAGGAGGAGGAGGATCAGGAGGGACAATAACACACACAGACAGACAATTCATCGTCGATTCCCCCGAAAATC